TAGAAATCTGCATGCTAGGCCGGGCGCGGTGGCTCACGCCTATAATCCTAGCACTCTGGGAGGCTGAGGCGGGAGGATCGCTCAAGGTCAGGAGTTTGAAACCAGCCTGAGCAAGAGCAAGACCCCATCCCTACTAAAAATAGAAAGAAATTAATTGGCCAACTAAAAATATATAGAAAAGAAATTAGCCAAGCATGGTTGTGCATGCCTGTAGTCTCAGCTACTCAGGAGGCTGAGGTAGAAGGATTGTTTGAGCCCAGGAGTTTGAGGTTGCTGTGAGCTAGGCTGATGCCACGGCACTCTAGCCAGGGCAACAGAGTGAGACTCTGTCTCAAAAAAAAAAAAAGAAAACAAAAAAATAAATTTGCATGCTAGTTATAGTGTAGTAACTATCCTTTAATAACTACATAGAGTAAATGGTTTTATATCAAAACACCATTTAGATATTAGAGGAACCATGAGAACCAGTACAATAAGCTTATTATTCTAACATGAAGAAACAGACGATTAATAATGCTGGCATAGACCTCCTCTTGGGCACTGTGTAAATTCAAAAAATTAGATAAACACTGGGGAAGAGGTAAAACTCCAATTACAAACAAGTAAAATTCCTAGTAATCTAGAAAATAATAGCTCATGCTTGACACTAGTTTAATGTATCAAAAATTTAAAAAGGTCATTTCTTTTTCTGAAAAGCAAGAAACAAAGAGAGAAAGGGGAAAAAAAAAAAAGAGACAAACATGAAGGCCATATGGGAAGAATCAAGAGATCTGGAAAAATTAAAATCCACTGTAGTTAGAAAATGGTCTAGATAAACTGGAGAGAAATAGTGAAGTGCATCTTTAGAATTTCCCATCAGCCAAAACTTTCTTAAGAACTTTTCAAAATCATCATCAAAATACTCAAGTGAAGTGAAATACCACCTTGTCTTGGAACAGCTTGAGTATGTTCACAAGACAAATGCATCTGTTTTTGCAGAGAATGACACTACAGTCACACTGGTGACTGTAGACTGACACAGTGGGCCACAGAGACCAAAACTGAACTTGTTCAAAAAGTGATGGAAATCATAACACATATAACTCTCAACTCCTTTTTTAACTTAATTCATCTACTTCTTTCCTCAACTATTTTTCTGCCTCCTCTTGCCCTACTAGGTATAATATAAAATAAAAATAGCCAGGTGCAGTGGCGCACACCTGTAGTCCCAGCTACTCAGGAGGCTGACGCAGTAGAATCGTTTGAACCTAGGAGTTCAAAGCTATAGTGCATTATAATCTTGCCTGTGAATAGTCACTGCATTCCAGCCTGGGCAAGATAGCAAGACCCTATCTCTCAAAAAATTTAAAAACTAAAAATAAATAAAATAAAATAAATATCTTTTACCATATCTGTTACTCTGTGGACACTTTGAATGAATTATCTTTATGTAAATAAAGGTTACTTAGTTCGGTACCAGTTACCAAATAGAAGATAAATACTCAAAACAAACACAAAATCATTTTTAAAAAATGGGAACAGCACAATAAACTCTCCATCAAATTAAATAAGTTAACATTTAAAAAGAATGCACCAAATTTAGCTTATTGTGTAAATTTAAAGTATTCTTACTAATGTGACATTTTAAAACATTTAAGATACTGTATGTTGCTACATCTACCTTACCTCATTTCTCTTTCCCCATTTTTTTCCCAATGAAGATAGTATCAGATTCTTCAGTTGTTAACTTTTAAATAGATCTAATGTCCTATTTTTCAGACCACTAAACCTACATAATATCCATGAAGCTAGTATAACTCTGCAGGCATCCTAGCTATGCAGGCAATGTTAGAAGGGCATCACCATTGTTCATTTGTCTGATCTCTGTGTATCTTGTCATATTTCCAGAGTAAGATTGCCAAGGTCTTGGACTCTTCATTTGGTAGAGTCTAATTCTGTTCTCTTTACAAAGAGCTAGGGTTACACTCAGCAAAGGTTACCATTTACGTGAGACACGAAGCCTGCTAGCATAACTCATCACCAAAGTAAAATCCCTAGCTATTTTTTCCCTCAAGGACATCCCCAATGCTACCTAAAATCAAGAAAGAACAGTTCAGGACAGGTCACACATAAAGCCCTCGCATACTCTGAATCCACATTTTCATTTTGATATTCTGGAATGTGATGTTTTCCCAGCAGCCAAACAAAATGTTTTTTCCTTTTGAAACCTCCTTTTCTATCCCCTAGGGGAAAATACATGGGACTCACATGTAGACTACAATGGGTTTAACAACAGAACCCAATATTTAGGGGTAAGCTTTCTTCTAGACATTATTCCTTTTAATGTTTGGTTTGTTTTATTATCACTTACTCAAATGAGTTCTCAAAGATTTTTCATAAATAAATAACATTTATAATTGCTTAATTTCTAATGCTCAGCTCATTATTTTTCAAACCTCTGCATTCAAGTGGCAGTCAAAGCCACTGCCCTTAGTGCTGATTGCTTTTGCTTTTAGCACCAACATTCATTTTTCTTCCTCTTATCCTCTGTTGGAAATTTATCTACTCTAGTAATTCTGAAGAATCAGAGATTTGAAAGTATGATCAGACCCTAAGATTTAAAAAAATGTTTAAAAAGAGCAAATATTAGACCTAGAAGAAACCTTAGGGACCATCTTACTTACTAGATATAAATGAGACCCCAAAGATCTTGCCCAAAGTAATGACAGATCTAAAACCATAATCTAGATTTCCTTAATCTTGAATTAGTGCTCTCTCCCCTACACTCCCTGGCCTCTCTATATTTTTATCCATTTCTACAGCATCTGCAAACATAGATTATTTTGGGCAACACACCCAAAATAAGATTCATGGCATTTCTTGGTTCTATCAGTTATTACTGTCTCCTTTCACTGGTTGGAAGATCAGGGACAGGAGATGAGAAGTCTTGCTTCCACACCCCATAGATTAAATGAGAGCATGGGCTGCCCAGCGCCTTGCCCATGAAGCTTGACTGTAATTGCTTAAATAGGAAGCATTCAGACTGTTAGGAAGCTCAGCATTAAGGCCTTTCCCTTCATAAGGATTAGATCTTCTCTTTTTGTTCTCAGTAGCCTAGGGACATAGAACAATTTCAAGGTGGCAAAACCTGAATTCTACCCACCATCAGAACTATTCTGCTAATGATTTCCAGCTTCTCCTCTGAGATGTGCCAAGAGGCTTAGAAGCAATTTTATCCTCTTGCACCAACTGACCTTGTATTTATTTATAAGGCATGTTTCTTCCAAGAAGTTCCAGAAGTTTCATACATACTCTCTTATTTAATCCTCTTCTTCCCATGGGGAGAAGCATTTCATTTTTACCTTCCTGCCTAAGCCAGCATTTCCCTGTTGTATACAGGGTTTCTCTCCAGAGTCTGATTCTTAAAGGTTATACTCTCTGAAAGTCACAAACATTCTCAACTGAAGTCTCAACCAAGATTGCTAACAAAGCAAATTCATTCATTCAACAAATATATATTAAGCATCTCCTGTGTGCCTGGCACTATTCCATGCACTAGAGATACACGAGTGAACAAAACAGACCCTGTAGAGCTTACATACAAAGTAAAAGGACTGTTCCATTACCCAATGAATTCAGAACCATAAATGTACTCTAGTCTAATAAACGTAAAAAAATCACTACAGTCTCAATAACACAGATAATATCTGCAGCTTCAAATTTATATGGTAATACAGAGTTCATATGCTATAGATATGTATGGATTGCACTAGAAGACAGGAGATTTGGATTCTAATCCTCTTATACCAACAGAATGCATAACCTTGGACAAATAATGTAACCTCTCTGAACCTTACTTTTGTTCTCTGAAGATGTTAGACAAGAATATTTCTCATATCTTTTCTTGGTCTGCAATTCTATGATTGGTTAACCTCACCTAAGATGACTGTTGTGGTGTCATAATCCTTCTATATCAATTGCTTTTCGTTGTAGAGTAGGGTGGACAGAAACAACACAAAGGAACACACACCTTCCGGGAAAATGTATTATCATCTCCCTATGCAATAATCTATAAAATCAATCAATTCCATATCTACTGCACGTTCAAAACTAGGCTAGACACTTTGGGATGAGAAACATATGAAAAGATCCCTGATCTTAAGGAGCTTCCAACTCAAAGTACATGATAATAAATGATTAAAAACAAAAGTATACTATAGAGGTTCAAAGTTCACAAGAGAAGAAAATATCAAGGAGGCCTAGATTAGAAACTTCTGAAGAAAGGTAGAACATCACCTGGATCTACATATAACAGCTACCATCACAATAATAAAAGCAGGTAACATTTGTTGAATGCTTGATATCTATCACATATAAATTAAGTGCTTTTGTGGGTTCATTTAATCCTCAAAACAACCCTAGAAATAAACACTATTATTGTTCCTATTTTACAGATGGGGAAACTTAGACTTAGTGGGAAGTCTAACATACCTAATGGTGAATGCAGGCAATCTGATCTCAGAGTATTCCATACCATTTGCTAGTCATGGACTGCTTTACTCACATATGAGACAAAAGGATAAGCACTGTATCTGGCACACAGTTTGGTGTTCTACAAATGTTACTTACTTCCCTTCTCTAGCTATCCCCCACCACCATTCACCCCCAACCCTCATCTCCAACTCACCTTTTCCAATTCTAAACATTCTTCAGTTGAAGTTCCACCCTGTGCAGAAAGTGTTCTCCTACCAGTCAAGCTTGTCTCTTCACTTACTTCTAGTACTTACATCTTATAGCCTGCCAGGTGATCATGTGCTGTTTGTGATGTCACTGGCACTATTTAATGTCTTATGTTATTAATGTTTCTGATGTCTTATGGCATTGTTAAGATGTTACCTGTATTATAATTTAATTGTGTCACCTGACTCCAAACTCCTTTGTGGTACTCCCAGGGTCTTGGCATAGGAGGCATCAGGAAGCATTCACCAATTCAAAAGTTTGAGCGTTTGTGAAATTTTCATTCATCAGAAAACAATCCAAGGCAAATAAATGCAGCTAACACTTCAAGGTTTGATTCCACCCTGTTCAGAACGTCTGCAGGTACAGGTTCTTTCTATTTGTGCCTAATTTTAGATATAAAGGTAATCTAAGCATGTTTACAATCCTTTTATCTAATTCACAGACTTGAATCTATCTTCTTCTGAACTACTAAAGAATAATTCTATCTGTTCTTTAAAAATGAAAAAACAACTAACCAACTCTCTCAAAAACAAAAGGCAGCTTCAATTCACAGATTGATTTTAATCTTACAAATTTATTATAAAATACTACATACATAGAAAATAGTAAATATATATGTACAGTCTAAATAATAATAAAATGTATACTCTGTAGCCACTATCCACCTTAAGAAAGAAAACATGATGTATTAATAGTATTAATAAATCTTTTACATCACCTAAATTTTAGTCTAAAGCAAATTAAGCCTGATATGGTTACAAAACTTCAAGATGACAAAGGGTTTTTAAAAACTGAAAAGAGCCGCCAAGTATTAAGAGATTATATATTGATATTAGGAAGAGATAAATCTAGATAAATTAGATAAATCTAGTCCTGCTGATAGCATCAAACACTATATGTAAAAGACTTTTAGGTGGGAACTAATTTTTTTTCCATTATAACATAATGGAAATATATTATAAATCCATTAGAATATAAAGTAAATATATGGACTGGATTTCTGGAATAGTTAAAATTTTAAATATTCTATTTCCATAAATTAATGGCTTTCTGGAAATTATTATATTTTGTTATTTAGGCTACATCTGCCAATCTACCTCTTTTACCTGGAAATAACATAAAAGTTCTTTGTGAGGCCATGTGACTTAAATAATGATTTGGGGAAATAAATCATCATAGATACAGTAGGAAAAAAAAGCACTGAGTTACTGGCTGGGTAGAGTGGCTCATGCCTGTAATCCTAGCACTCTGGGAGGCCAAGGCAGGAAGATGACTTGAGGTGGGGAGTTCGAGACCAGTCTAAGCAAGAGTGAGACCCTGTCTCTATAAAAAATACAAAAATTAGTCAGGCATGGTCGTGCAGGCCTGTAGTCCCAGCTACTTGGGACGCTGAAGCAGGAAGATCCCTTGATCCCAGGACTTTAAGATTGCAGTGAGCTGTGATGACACCACTGCACTTTAGCTGGCATGATGAAAAACAAAAGAAAAAGAAAAAAGGAAAAAAAAGCATTGAGTTACAAATTTAGGAGATCCTAATTCTAATCCCTATAGAATTATTGGTTCTGAAATGAGCTCTAAACTTTCAAGTAGCTAACACAGATGGAAACACAACCTATATTAAGAATCAAAGTACTAATATGGAAAAACTAAACCAGCGTCACAGGAGAAGCCCAATTATTCCTAGTATTAAAAATGGAGATAGATTTCTCTAGTAAATCATCATAGAGATAATATGAATATTGACAATAACTATTATGGTCTACATGTTGGTGTCATTCCAAAATTCATATGTTGAAACCTAATATTCAATGTGATAGTGTTAAAAATTTGGGCCTTTGGCAAATGATTAAGTCGTGAGGGCTCCAATCTCATGAATGGGATTAGTGTCCTTATAAAAGAGACATGAGGGAGTTCCCTTTCCCCTTCTGCCACGTGAGGACACAGCAAAAAAGTGCCATTTATAAAGGAGAGAGCTCTCAGCAAACAGCAAATCTGCTGGTGCCTTGATCTTGGACTTCCCAGCCTTCAGAACTGTGAACAATAAATTTCTATTGTTTACAAATTACAAATTACCCAATCTAAGGGATGTTGTCAAAGCAGCCAGAAGGGACTAAGATATTCCTTATAGTAAACATAGCAGTATTTCAATGGATTTCTTACCATAACAAATATGCCAAAGACTTCAGACCAAAACACAAATTCACAAACTTTAACCTATGTCCTCAGAAATGATGTTTTTGGGAAATGATTCAATACCTCTTCTGAGTACAAGTGCTATAACTCTATAAAGGTCAACATCTGGATTTCTAAAATGGAGAATATTAAAGTAGTTCCATTCTTAGTCAAGAATGCAGATGTTCTAGATTAACCTGCTGTCTGTAACTAACTTGCTGGTCCAACTGTGAATACAATACACTTGAACTAAATTGTATACACAACTAAATTGTATTAAACCCCAGTGAGATTTAGACAGAATTTCTTTTTTCTCTTTCTTATAGGTGCCCAAGGAAGTAATAAAAGGTTTTATCTCTGGGATTGTGCTTAGAATATGCTACAGAAATGTCAGAGTAAGTGCAGAATTTCATGTGGATGTGCATTTGTTGCATATGAATATAGGGAAAATTCTACTTTAAAAAAACATCAAGAAAGAACAAAAGAAAAGAAAAACCCTAATATTTAGTAGAGAAACTTTGAAGTGATTATTTGCTTTAAAAGTTATTTCCTCTGGACACTTTAAGTGTTTAATAACATCCCACTGATTATCAGACTGAGATAAAGGAAAGTGAAATTATTAGGGGCCATAACACTAATATTTGGTTAAAAAGGGGGGAGCACTGAAATTGTGTAAATATAGAGAAATATAAGGATTACAGGCAAAAAATACATGCTACATTCAAATTTATATAGTGAGGCATTTCTATGAAAGTCCCCTCTAGTCTTTCTTTCATTGGATTGTGTTTGGTTTTGCTTCCCCCACGGGATAAAGAAGAAAACCACTAGAGTTTCTCTGACCATCAGTTCCCCAGTTACTGAAACTCCAACTTCAGATCAAGTTACTCTGCCTTAGTTCAACCACTATGTATTGAAGTTTCAGTTTTAAGCCTTCTCAGAGGGTCCCAGTAATGGAGACATAGGCCCAGAGAAGAAGGAATCAGTTCAGTTTTCTTGAGAACTATACGTGAAGAAAGCCTTTAGGCTATACGCCCTCAAAAAGAACAAGAAAGAAATCCATGGGTCTCAGAAATAATTCCATGGTTACAATCTATGGCTTGGCCATTTATCTGTGTGCCAGACCATAAGGGACAGCTGGTTTCTAGGAGCTCAGGCCCATAACAGAGTATTCCAACTATCCAAGGAATGAATTCCCTTTGAATTAAAAAGGGGGAGAGATGATTTTTTTGAAAACCTAAGAGATCCAACAAGAGCAACTGTATGGAAGAAGAAAAAAATTCAGTCAGTAAAATTTAGAAGTTATTTAAACCTTTAATATATAGTCTCTAAATACTTGCCAGTACTCATTTCTCAAATATAATTGCCCAGTGTTGTATTTCACCATCTCAGCTTATGGAATGCTGAACAAGAAAGAAGAAAGGGTGACATTGGAGCAGACAAAAATTAGAAGCATATCCTTTTAAAAAAGGAAACTTAGGGTATGGTCAGTAGCAGCTAAAACTGAACTAGCTAGTTCGCAGCTACCATGAACCTGGGTTTCGGGGCTTTGACAGTATGGATGATAGATAGCATCATTTTCTCTTTACTCCTTAAACCAGATGCCAAGTCCTGCAACACTCTGTCAAGATCCACTTGTACTGTAGCCCCTGTGTTTATCAAGGTAATTTATCCATATTGCATGATGGAGTTTAGATTTTATAGATAAATTATACATTTTTATCAACAGGATTAATAAGAAGGAAAGGGCTGGACATGGTGGCTCACACCCATAATCCCAGCACTTTGGGAGGCCAAGGTGGGAAGATCATTTGAGGCCAGGAGTTCAAGACCAGCCTGGACAACATAGTGAGACACCATCTCTCCAAAAAATTTAAAAATTATCCAGGCATGATGGTGTGAGCCTGTAGCCCTAACTACTGAGAAGGCTGAGGCAGGAGGATCACGTAAGCCCAGAAGCTCAAGCGACAGTGAGTTATGACTGCACCACTGCACTCCGGGTTGGGTAACAAAGTGAGGGCTTGTCTCAAAAAAAAAAAAAAAAAAATGAGGAAAGGGGAAACAAGAAAGGACTTCAGATCAGAGATTATTATCATTTTACATATGAGAAAACTGAAGCTGAGAAAAGGTGACATGATTTGCTCGATGTCACAGAGCAATCATGGTTTACCCTGTGCTCTTCAGATTTTTTGCTTGTTTCAGTCCTCCAGTCTGGAGGGCAGTGCTCAGACTTTCCTCTCCAAGGAGACTATGCTCTGCCCGACCGCAAGACTCAGTCACATTCTCCTAAGTAGTCATACGATGCCCTTCTGAAGAAGTCAAAGTGCAAAACAATGTGCATTTCCTGCTCAGGTCACAGAGCTCACTTTCTCCCCTATTTCCCACTAGAAACAGCATAATTCAGTTACTTACATCAAACTAAAACTAGGGTTGAAACTTCTCTGGACTCTCTGTCTCCCAGCTACCAAACCTGACAGAACTGGAACAACTGCCCATTGCTGGTCCAAAGTATGAAAAGCAGAGCAGGGATTTAACCAGATACAGGGTGGGAGACAAAGGAAACAATGCAGTAACACTGCTAAAGATTCTGGAAGCTTGCCTTCAGCAGACTCTGCCAGGAATTCCTTCCCCACAAAATGCCCCTCTGGGCATCAGGCCTCAAGGGCTAGGTTGGTCCTTGTATCACACCTAGGTCTCACTTGATGGAAGGACCTCAGATACTCCCTCTATGGTCGCAAATTATAATCCAAAATATAATTTTCGATTCTAGAGGATTCTGGGGTTGGAGGTAGGAGAGGAAGGAAAATCAGGATTTAAGGGGTAAATTTACCATAAAGGCCACCTATTCGTTTATGTATTGTGAGACTAAACTAGTTATAGTTAATAAATACTTTTTAATATATCAATATAATTCTTATTCTTTACAGAAAGTTTTCAGATTATTTATCTGAAATCAGCCTCAAACCTCAAGGTAGGCTAAGTATTTTGCTAGCCCTGTTTCACAAATAAAGAACCTGAGTTACAGAGAGGTTAAGAGTATCTTCCAAGTTCCTATGACTAGCTCCAACCAGCCAGTGGCAGAGTTAAGATTTTGGCCCACGTCCTCTAAATGATGATTCAGGGATCTTAACAAATTATAATATAGTAGTCCTCCAGTTATCTACAGTTTTGCTCTCCACGGTTTCAGTTACCCATGGTCAACTGTGGTGTGAAAATAGATGAGTACCACACAGTAAGATATTTTGAGAGAGGGAGAGACCATAGTCATATAACTTTTATTAGAGTACATTGGTATGATTGTTCTATTTTATTATTATTGTTGTTAATCCCTTACTATGCCTAATTTATAAATTACACTTTATCACAGATAAGTATGTATAGGAAAAAACACAGTGTATATAGGGTTTGGAACAATCCAGTTTCAGGCATCTGCTGGGGGTCTGGGAACATATCCCCTGCAGATAAGGGAACATATCCCCTGCACTGTACTACTGTGGTCCCATGCTACTGTGACTAATAATAAGGACTAAATATGTGACTAGATGTGTACTTAACAAAATAATAAAATACAATAAAATGAAGAGTTTTAAAATTTGAAAAACAGATCTTGGAGAAGTAAAATAACAACTTTGTCCACAATTCTATGAAGTTAAGATAAAAATAATTTGTATCTTACTAAAGTAAAGCACACCATAGTGATGCCCAAAAGAATGACCGGCAGCTCCTTGCTTTGCTTCAGATACAGTTAGTTGTCAATAATTATAAGGAAAAAGCATGCACACTTACTGCAACTGACATCTCAAAAATCACTGTATATGGTGTGACCATGTCTTCCATTCTGTGAACTTTGTGTTTGTTCTTTAGCATCTTCAAGACATCTCTACGACCAGGAGTCAGTCAGTTTCATTTGAATGCCAAATCCAGGCCACTTTCTGGAACTGACCTGTGAGTACAGAGAAAAAGATCAGATAGCCAACTCAGACAACTTTCAGATTCTTAGGACAAGTGTCATGATAAGCTTGTCAATTGCTTTTAATTACAATTAACCTCCAAATATAATCATGTTTTAATTTTTTTTTTTTTTTTTAGACAGAGTCTCGCTTTGTTGCCCAGTCTATAGTGAGCGCCATGGCATTAGCCTAGCTCACTGCAACCTCAAACTCCTGGGCTCAAGCAATCCTATTACCTCAGCCTCCTGAGGCAGTCGCAGCTGGGACTACAGGCATGCACCACCATGCCCAGCTAATTTTTTCTATATATATTAGTTGGCCAATTAATTTCATTGTATTTATAGTAGAGATGGGGTCTTGCTCCTGCTCAGGCTGGTCTCGTACTCCTGACCTCAAGCAATCTGCCCACCTCAGCCTCCCAGAGTGCTAGGATTACAGGCGTGAGCCACCGCGCACAGCCTATAATCATGTTTTAAAGCTTAATAGCTGATGTATTACAGGCTTAAAGATTTGTCCTGTTAAATAATTATTATTTCAAATCCAAATGATAACAACAACCGAAAAAGAAAAGATAACTCTGTTTTGATGAAAGAATAATAGCTGCAAAAAGACTAGCTTATTTTTATAGCTAAATCTTAATTATTTTCCTCATAAGTTCTCAATATACAAACAAAAAAAGAAATAGGAGAATAAACATATTTCTGAAAGTGTAAAACAAATGAAAACGGATATAACTTTCTAAATACTTTATTATACAATTTTCCTACAAAATAAATAATTTAGGGAAGACTAACAAGTATGATCACCCCCTTCAGGCTAAACACTGAGTTTATGATTTATAAATAATTTCTCATTAACAATCACATAAACATTTTGAGGTATGTATTATTCTCCCCATTTTATAGGTAAGAAAACTGAAATCAGAAATACAAAAAACTTGCTTAAGGGCACAAAGCTAGTAAATGCTAAAGCTAGGGTTCAAGTCTAAGATAGTTCTTGTGCCAAATGAAGAAAATACATTCATTTAAATATTAATTCAAGACAACTAAACATTTGTACATCATATTTAGGAAGAAACATCTCTTTATTACACAAAAGATATGGTATTTCTTTTGAAAATAACATGTATTGCATTTTTGGAAAATAAAGTAGTACAATCTTCTTATAATAAATCTGGAAAATATATAACAACATAAAGAAAAAATTTCAAATTATTTGTATTCTCACCACCTAGATAAAACTATTGTTAACCTTTTTGTGTATTTTTCTATATAATATGATAGTATTTTTATAATGTAATATTCCATTTTATTTTAATCAGAGAGATTTAAAGGATTCCCCTGGGAGAAAAAGGCCACCCCAGGACTAGTGTTTCAGTAATGGTTCACGTTCAGAGTAGATATATTTATCTGGTCTAACCTTTATGTTGGAGATGAAGAAAGTCCAGAAAAGTAAAGTAATTTTCACAAGATCAAAGAGCAATTTAGTGGTGGAATCAGGACTTAAATCAAGTTCCAGTACCCTGCCAAGTATCCATTCCTTTATGTACCTTTTCTAAGTTTCTCCAGAATTTAGTCCATGATTCTAGATTATAGTCTACCTTGTATTTGCCTCTAGTTATTTCTGATAAACACTTTGCCCCTTTCCCAACTAAATGAATTTTCATCATTTAAATTCCTTTTCTTATCTTTCAGAAGCTTTTTTATTATCCATTCCTGGTAAGTACAATTTTTCAATATCTTGATAACTTATTAAATCAAAATTAGCATCAGAAGAGTTTGTCTCCTAAGTCATTCTGGCCTTTATATGCTCTTTGAGGCTAACCTACACCAACTCTTGAACTGACACAATAGAAGAAGCAAGATAACTAGGATTAATCTGTGTATTTATTTATATATCTATTCATTCAACATGTTTACTGAATACAGACTATGAAGACATTTTTAAGATTTTTTTTTCTTTTGAGATAGAATCTCACTGTCTCCCAGGGTGCAGTGCAATAGTGTTATCACAGCTCACTTCAACCTCCAAATCCCAGCTCAAGCAATCCTCCTGGCTCAGCCTCTCAAGTAGCGAGGACTACAGGCATGTGTCTGGCTAACTGTTTTATTTTTTATAGAGACAGAGTCTCACTATGTTGCCCAGGATGATCTCAAACTCCTGGCCTCAAGCGATCCTCCCACCTGGGCCTCCCAAAGTGCTGAGATCACAGGCGTGAGCCACTACACCCAGTTTAGGATTAATTTTTATGAACCCACTCAGAAGACAAAACATCTAGTCAGATTGGTTTTTCTTTTAAATCTCAAGAAGACTCTATTTATTCCCTGACATTCTCCCACACTGTATGTTTCGTAATTGTAGGAATCCAAATACAGTGACCAAGTTGAATTTCTTCCCTTTCCAGAGGAAGTATGCACCTTGATTTTCACAGAAGCATTTTTCTTGAAGACTCTGGGGTGTTCCAGTGCATTGCAGAAAACGAGGCTGGGACTGCAGCCTCTATACTTTTTGTTTCCCCAGGTAATTAATCTTCAAAATTTCCTTACTCCAATTCAGCCCTGAGCCAAGAGAAAGATACTCTGTTTCTATCTGATTAATTATATTTTTCAGAAAGAAATGAAGTAGAGAAATCAGGGAGTTCTCCAAAGTTACTTACGAGCAAATTTT